TGGCAGCGTCTCAGAGCAAGGGGATTTCTGGGCTGGTCATCTGGTTCTCCAGTAAATACCACAGGAGCTCGTACGGCGCTGTGTCAAAGCCAATGTGACCGGCTACAGGGTTACTGACTACTCACTTCTGTAATCAGAGGTGAGTACCTAATGGTGGGCGGATGAACAACCTCGCTGGCCACCGGCTTCTGTGTGGATTGTTACTGAACACAAGAAGGCGAATGAGCCACCTGGATGTCAACGGTCTCCGTATTCAGTGGTTGGTTGGAAGTTCCAGCAAATGCACTAATCGCTCAGCTGCTTTGCCTGTCAGGTCTTTAAGACCAATGGCTGCGGGTAGGGTCCCTTAACTCAATCCTCTTCCGCGGCCTGGCAACCGGGAAGCTCTCTGCTTTCCCAACACACAAACCCACATAACGCATCCCCTGATTACCCGTGCGCATTTGTTTGTGCACAATGCCTGTCAGTTACTTGTTAAGTGTTGCATATATATGTATATAAACCACTAGCATACCTACCCGGGCAAGTTGCTTACATGGATGATATTTGCGCTTTTGGTCCCACTCGAGCAGAGCACGATTCTAGACTACGCGCTGTAGTACAGCGGTTGGAGAGCACAGATCTTCAGCTCAATCTCCAAAAGTGCGTTTTTGCTGCTACAGAAGTCGAATTTCTTGGGTACATCTTAGCGTCTGGGCGAATTGGACCATGCGGTGCAAACACTCGAGCTATCACAGAAGCACCCATCCAGAGGAACGCATCTGAAATTAAACCCTTTCTTGGCCTGTGCCCATAGAACTTGCATAATCTACTAGATTTTGCTAACCTAGCGGATCCTTTGAGGATGCTAACCAAGGAGAAGGTCACCTTTGACTGGAGATATTCACAGCGATCTGCCTTTGAAGAAATTCAAAGATGCTATTCTTTACCCCAATACTAGCCATTTTTGATTAAATTTGTCCTAAATTTTTCTCGACGGATGCGTCAAACACTGGTTTCAGAGCTGCGCTATCTCAGATGCAGAGCGGAAAGGAAAAAGTTATAGCGTGCTTTCCCAGAAAATTATCCCCCACAGAAGCTCCATACTTTGCTGGCGCAAAAGGGACCATCGCATGTGTCTGGGCCTGTGAAAAATGGCACGTGTGTACAGATCATGCTTCTCTAACTAACCTCCTTAGTCGGTGAACCAACGGTCACAGGCCACTTCGGATCAATCGCTATTCTGCTCATTTACCTATGACTTTCAGAGCACATTCCACCCAAGTTCCGAGAATCCCATTTCGCCTTCCGTTAGACGATCGCGACAAGAAAGATGACCCAGAAAAAATAATGATTTCCGTTTTCCAGTCAAGTGGACTTTCTGCCATAACTAAGGTAGGGTTGCAAGAAGTCAAAGCGACCAAAAGATAGAGGCCGTTTCCCGCTACCACACTGATGGTCTCGATACACGAAGCTCGGTGGCGAACTGCGTGCGTTTTATGTTTTATGACACGAACTCGCGGTCATTGGTGATTGCTTTATGCGAGGACTGAGAATCGTGACCTCACACCAAAAACCATCCAAGGTGCATACAATGGATAACTTGGCATCCTACGAACAAAGCACCGGCTATAGGAGCATTTGGTGGCCGAAGACGTCTGAAATCATACAAGTATGTGTCCGGTCTCGTGACGCATGTCAGAAAGACAAAAGAAACTCGAGGCCGATTGATGTACCCGTTCAGCCTTTCGTTTATCCAATGAAACCCTGGTCGAAAGTGACGATCGACATCATGCGACCGTTCCATTCTGTACCACGGTATCAAAGGGACTGCTTGGTGGCCACATGCTTTTACAGCAAATGGCCTGAGATTCACCTCTGCGGTTAGGTGAACGTTTCAACAGTGGTTGAAGCATCTGTCTGCTAGATTTGGACTCCATGAAGAAATTGTGACGGATAACGGGCCGCAGTTCCCAATATACGAGGTTCAACAGTTTATATAACCACGATGTGCAACATGTACGATCGGTTCAACCCATCGGTTGCCAACATCATAATTGAGCACGTAAATCACTCGCTACAGGGAAGTGTGCAGGCGGCACGTTTGTTCGGCATACAATAGGAAGATGCAGTAATTAAGGCTCTGTTTATAAACAGAACATCGCATCACAGAGCCACTGACCGCACATCGGAAGAGTTATTGTTTGGTAGGACGTTGCTAACGAAAAAAACGGAACTATCTCGGTCCTTAAAATCAAGGGTCCACGGCAGCTTGAGGGTTGCCGACATTATCAGTCCCCCTACGAAAAAGTGGCCGTACCACTGCGACCCGGAAGGTTCGTTCGTCTGAGAGGAAGGAGTGCACACAAGTGATAACATTATCGCATCCATCGGCATTACCCAAACATTCGAACCAGGAACGCACGAGCTCGCTGGTGACCGTAAAGTTAACCAACACGGTAACACGGTAACAGCACCCAAAAAAACTGAGGTCGCAAGCAGCGTGGCTGGCCTCACAAATAGTTGTTGCTTTTTAAGGGAGGAGATTGGGCTGTGTTAGTTCTCCGTTCTCAGGTAGGCACGCACCTGTCACGGAGGCGAAACAGCTGACTACGATGGTGCACACTAGCGAGGCGAGATCGGCCAGATCACGTGAGCGGATGACAGACTGGTTGTCATGGTCAAACCGGAAGCTGACGAAATCAGACCGTCATCGCCGCACGGGTTGCTATGTCGCGGACGTGATCCTACCTACAGTCAGACAGTGATGGCGGCTGCCAGAGTCGAATCTGTTCAGACAAGAGATGTGTCACCTCAGTGATAGCAGCGAGGTAAGCGCATGTGACCTATAAAAATAGCCATGTTCTGTACCTAATGTACTTCGGTCCCGCAGGTTCAGCGTTTCGTTTTCCCGGCTGGTTGGTAGCACAGAGAGGCAGAGGCAAAGGGTAGCGTTACAACAGCACCCCAGCTTGTGACTGATTTGAATGAACACTTATGGACTGATCGCTAACACTGGTTACGTCAGTAAATAGACGAGCCAGTGGTCAGTTCAGATTACAGTTCATGGGTGTTCGAGGTAATACAGCTGAACCCGGGTTGCGGATAGGTCCAGTGCGCTCACTAGGACACAACAGCAGCAGTTCATGATCTTCCTGATTACCGATCGCTCACCATATCTTGATGTCATCGGCAAAAAGAAGTTCAACACGATGACAAGAGCGAGGTCGTTAATGAGTGCCAGGAATAAGCGTGGGCCAACACAGATTCTTGTGGAATCGCGCAGTTCATCACAACAGGACCGGGCAATGACTCCTAAACCAGGGACTGCAGCTACCACTGAAGAAGGGCTTCTGATCCATCCGAGGATACATCCCAATTCGCGGCTTATGTATCTAAGTCGCCGAAAAGTATGGAAAATTCGGGATAGATGACATTGGTTTTGCTCCCAATACCCGCTGTTTCGGTCAAGCATCCACGCGCAATCTAGAGTGGCTGTATATGACTGAGGTTGACGAAGCCGTGTTGTTTCGTCGCTATAATGTTAAATTTGTCTGATTATCTCAGTAATACCTCAGAAATAATCGCTTCCGTTATACAGAGTCATGGGTAACAGTTGGCGTATTCCCAACGGCTATCAGATTTACAAATCGGAATAATGATACCCTGATTCCACAAGGGAGGGACCTGCCTGTTCATCTAAGCACTGATAGAATTGGATAATGGCTCGGCTAGCGTCACAACTGCCACCTCCAGCTATAATTTCAATAAAAGAAGACGTTTTCAGAAAGCTTCCCCTGTGCAAACGCATTTGACTGGTCTTTAGGATGTGGCAGCAATGTAATGAACTAATCTCCCTCTAATTACCAAGATCCTAATATTACGACTTTAGTGGATGATTTCTCCGGTTCGTACATAAGAGTTTGAATTCTGTTGATTGTTGGAACACAGCATATATGTTGGTTAGTTTGCGTGTAATCGTACTCACACATAGCTTCCACTGTGGCAAGCATTCACTCATAATAATCTTCCGTTCTTACCGTTTGTATCCACTGCAAACGAGCACTACATTGCTCCCCTATACTAACTTGTGTTATCCTAACGGTACCTATGTTGAACTATATCGCAGGTAGCAATTCCATCAACTAACATGAAGTATTTTATAGGGGTATCACACTCTTATAGAAAAGGATCCATCTTATTTTCCTCCGATATACTAATTTTCGTGCGGTAGATTCGTGGAACACTACCCACACTGCGGTTATGTGACAAGCCACATGTGAATGTTGAACAATTCCCCTAAGTGGACTCAGCGTACATTTACTAGGTGACAAGCCAGGTGATCGCGCGGCAATCACTTCGTGCTTAACGTGTTAATTAGTTAACTGGGAGGAATACGGAACGCATAACCTATGCTGAAAAATGACATCGGCAGTACGCCGGTACGCAGCACTGACGCTTCGCTGCCTCGCCAGCACCACCAGTCGCGCGTGGGCTAAGGATACTATGAGGTTCGACCGGTCCCCAACGCAAGCTCGAATTTGCGACCGGAGTACAAGACAGGTTTACGAGCCTTAAGGCCACGGGCCGGCTGTTTGCTATTGGGCGAATCATAAAAAGTACTCTCGCTATCGATCAATCTCCGCCCCGGTTAGCATTTGCCTCGCGTGTGGGAACATTCTGCTGGACAGTGGCCATGTTCGTCGTTCATTCAGTGAGTAACACGCACTGGGCCCTAGTAGAATGGGATTCGGTTCAACTATTCTGTGCATTGGACAAATTAGGGAGGGGTTGGCTCATTCGTATAGGAGTGGTTTGTCAGTGGCCCACTTCTGTCTACCTGTGATAGGCAGCGCAGCCGCAATCACTGTTAACTTCGACTCTCAGGCACTGAACCACTGTTAAGCTGACGACGAGAAGACGTACTGAAGACGGGGCACAAACAGGCAAAGGGCAAATTGGCCTTGATATTCTTAGTTGCTGCGGATTCCTCTTTAGTCCCATTTTAGAATAGATAGGCTAAAGCGAGCGTTGTAATCTTTTATTTTTCTGACCGCTTCGACAAACGAATCTGATTAGTACAGACGGGGAGCTGAGAAACAAATGGAATCATGCAAAAAAGTCATCCTGTTCTTCTGAGTCAAAACAGAACAGTATTATCACAGATGCAAGTGTTGTTTTTCATTGCTAGCAATCAGGCGGACACGAGGGTGAGTAAAAGTTTGCGGTAGTCCCCGCTGGTGTCGTCCTGCAAAGAAAGTGAAAGAAGCGTTCAATAATCTCCAATGTCCACCGGAAGCGCATACCGGACAGTGTACTCTGAGCGTCATCAAAGTGGGTCTGTTTTTCCACCTAATCTGTAACTCTTCGCATCATCCCGACCAAAAGCAAGACCAGGAAATTCTTGATGCCCTGATCGGGTGATTTGAAGACCGAAATTCACACCGTTGTGTAACTGATGAGAGGACACAAGCCTTTAATGTGCAAAATAAGCTTTAAAAGTTAAAAAGACCGTGAGACCCAAACAAAAAAAGCTTCACTGAAACGGTGGGAAGACGACAAATGGAGCGCTTACTAGAAGTGTGAAATTTGCAATAAGCAGTGGATCGAATAGATGATACAAATCGGTATCAGACTGACTAACTCGTATGCGAACACGTCACTAGGATAGGGATAGAGTGTGTGCTTGGGGTTATCAGTTGTGTCACACCACGATCCACGCACATGCTGACGACGTGCAGCGTTTAGCAAACGAGTCACAGACCCAACCCATAAACTAAGAGGCATTGCTGTGTTATTTAACGAAATACCATGATTTATCATTTTCCCTAAGACTGCGGCATAGAGAGTTCCCCATGCTTAGCGGGTGCGTTTGGTTGTTGACAAAGTCAATCTCTAGCAACATCGGACAGTGATCAGAATAATATTTAGTTAGTGGCAACCATGAGATCTTGATTACTTCATGCATAAGCATGCTCATAGACAAAAATATAGTAAATCTGTTTTCTGTTCAGAGTCATACATAACTATGCGCACACCACAGGAGTAAATCTGTGCATGTCGTATACTTGTAGATATTCCAGGAGCGACACGAGTTGCAAGAGCACAATTCCAAGGTTGAAAACAAGAATTCAAGAAAATTGCTTGCTTATTGTTTACTCTAATCTTTAGAACAATTTGCCCCCAAACATCAGGGACTGTGGTAAACCGCAGTCTTTCAAGAAATAGTTCACTGTGCAAAACATCATATCTACGTTATGGATATCGCAGTCTTGGGAAACCGTAGTTGAAAATGGCATCGATAACGCCTAGCAGCAAACTGACTATCTATCGAAAGTTTGTTGCTGATTGGGAGAGGTTCTGCTAAATGGACGTGATGGAACAATCATAACCAGTTTCGTCTGGCGGAAAAATTACGATAGACTTCCGCGGTAAGTCACGATGATAAGCGTGATAAGTTGTTCGACCACCTTTTCATACCATTCGGTCTCGGCGTCATTCCTTCCCAGAAAAACAGTGGGGAAGTGGTCGAGTGGTGTTCGACAGGTCAAAGCACTCAAACAGTTTGGTGCGCTTACACCGTCACGGACTGAGTACTATAAGGGTCACAATGATGCAAAAGCTACTCATGTTCACCTGCGTTGACGGCTAGTCGATGGAGAAGCCAGTGCTAATGAAAATGGAGTCACCATCAGGTGTATTTAACCTTAAATCACCGTAGCAGTCGAAGTCCATGTGTCGGTACATCTATTGGAACACAGGTCTGGAGCAGTAGTTACTCATTCGTTGCCTTGCATACAAGGTTTTATGAAAATAGTCCAGAATGCACATAATATCAGGGAGTGGAAACGATCCATAACAATTAAATACACGGATTTGAATTCGAAAACCTTCCACAGGATGGAGCGAGAGACGGTTTAGTGAAGACGTTGCTTCAGGCAATTAGTTGTTGGTTTCTTTACCTGTTTCGTTTAGGTATGGCGATATTTTTCGTAGACAAGTGCCAAAGAAATTCAGTGCGGAACAACCGTAACTGGGAACTGAGATGTGGAAATCTCTACATAAATATAAAGAACTCACTCCCCGGAGCTTCTCCAAAACACACAACTGCTTCCATCACTTAGGAAAGCGAATGAGTGACACTGGTATGAGCTTACCATATAGGTCGACAATGATGTAATGTACCCAAATGCTTACATGGCAACTATATGCTGAAGTGATTTCTCTCCGATCCTATGTTGGATGACATCATCTGTGAAAGACAACTGTGCACCTGTTGATCTGTCCCTGTGCAGGAACAGTCTCTCACACCACCAACGGCTTCCCATTAGGTTACGTGAGAAACATTGTCCCCGCTCGAAAGCATGTGCATAATGCCTAATTGATGCGTGGTTTTATCAATTGTCTACCGAATGAAAAGATGGATGTCTAGTACCGACCTCGAAACCCACTCCAGTTCACAGTCCGTGATACTCACCGTAATCCACGACTCCAAAGTTTTTCCATAGGCCTTCTGGAATTCTTGTTTGATCAGCTGCATATCGATCTCACATCGGGACACAACTAACCGAATTAGCGTGCGGTCTTTTGTGCCTAGTCCCTTCATCGATTTCATCAGCTGACGAGCAAAGTATTGCTGTTTGTTGCGAATGCACCGTACTGAAGGGAAGATGGGGGCACAAAGGGAATCGGAAAAGAGCACTTTTAACGCGCAAGAGAGACGCTGTTGAACGAACATAACTCAAGACATAACATCAAGTGCGGTGGAAAAGATTTATAACAAAACCCGCAACACACCCTTACAAGGGTCAGCAGGAACCAGAGCATAATTCGGTTGCCACTGAAATGGCCAATTTTGTAAGATCCGTTATCCGGTTTCTAGCAACAAGGGAAAAAAATCGAGGTCGTCTGAAGCGGGCATACCTAAAATTTGGTGGATTATAAACACTAGAGCATCGGAAGATTCAAGTATTAGTATTCAAGTGGTAAGCTGATATACCAAAAGAATAGTCACGTTTGGAGAAAGTTCCAGAAGGTAAAGATACAACGCCGCATGTCTAAGGGTAAAAATGATTCTACAGTTCTGTATGGCCTGGAAGCGGATGTGAGATGGGAACTGACGCCATAGCACTTGCTCAGACTGTCTGTAGAATGAGCCAGTTCAAGCGTAATAGAGCAGATGAGAAGCGGCGGAATGCAGGATGGCAGTGTAACGCGAACATGCACATGGCAAAGTATCCGATGGTGTGCTCTGTGCAAATTCGCCGCACCGAATGTTTACGAAGTGACCGTGACATACGGTATCAGTAGCCTACTCATCCACCTCGAAAAACGGTTACTATAGACTCACGAGGGCGGTTGTAGTTTGACTAACATGAGTCAAATGAGTCTGACCAACTCGGTGACGTCAACCACTTTCGATGGCGACCACCGAGACGTTCGTGGTCGCACGAACTTCCGTGTACAACAGCAGGTTTCGGCAGATGCCGACCTAAGCAACGGGTCACTCTAAACGAAGTTCTATGGCTCCAGGCTAGGTGAGCGCATTGAGCCAGCGGAAGAAGTTGCATAATGGTAACCAGGTGTTTTAGGGACAGACACGCAGACCACGTCCTTATCACATAGTCCATTGTAATAAGTCGGTCGCAAGCGCGTAGAAAGCGCGGATGAAGTTGAGGCAGGAATACCGATAGATCGATTCTCAAGTGGTCGATATTGTTAGATGCACAACTTCAATAGAGTGCAGTGGGGCTTTTGCCCGGTGGCAACCGAGCGGACCGTGCGCGCCTGGGAAGTGCCTCAGTTGAGCTAACAAACGGATGCGCGACGAAGATGACAATGAGGAATCCGAGGAGTAGTGGGTAAGGTGATCCTCAGTAGTGTTGGTGGTGGTGTTAGTGCAGGTGGTGATGGTGGTGGTGAGAAGTGTCACATATATTCGGCACTTCGTACACATTTATTTTCGTTGGTGACGCGATTGCGCTCTTCAAATGCAAAATTCAGCACTTGAATTGGTCCCGAGAGAGTATCCTTCTGTCGGATACAAAGCCGGGGCATCCAATTTCGTGATGACTGTCGGCCTGGGTTGAGAAAATACAGTCAAACCTGTGTAAGGCGACTACTCAAGGGACCGACAAAGTGGTCGCCTTGAGCAGATGGTCGCCACGGTCAGATTCATGCATAGGGACATTACCCATGGAAAAAGCTGGGGATGTTATTGGCTGGTCACCATAGACAGGTTGTCGCCACAGACAGGTGAGACTACTTCTATTGCGTCATTTCATGTATTCCAAGAATACAAAGCGCAGGAATGAGATTCATTGTTGGTTTGGTTGGAGCCCCCGTCACGAGGACGGACTGATACGAAAGCGAGATTTAGACTGTGATTCGATCTGAAGTGAACCCTGTCCAGTTCAGTTACTGGGGCTTTACTTGAAACAGATAAACCTTGGGCACTTCCTGTCACTAGGTTCATGCTTTTCTGCACTTTTCAGGTAAGGATAATGGAACTGCAACTCAAATCTGGGACGCAGGGATTGTCACCAGACATCCTTGCTCCTGCACAATTCGGAAAATGAGTACCCACAAGTGAGCGACAGTTAGTCGCTAACCGTTATGGTAAGAGTTGTCAACGGAGCTAGAGTGGTTATGGGTAAGCAGTAAGACCGGGATTTTAGTCCTAGTTCAGTCATCTCTACCTGAAGACTGTGAGCAACCAGGAAATCGGTTGCGAAGTGAAAAGATGGGTGTGCGGAAAACGCCCAACAGTAACAGGGAGATGAAGTTGTCTGACAACCGATGCTTCCATGTAAAAACGACCCCAGAGAGTTTTGTGCAATGGATTGGCTAACAAATTCTTTTCGCTCATCAGCTAACGTAGCGGGTCAATGTGAGGTGTGACTGGTTGTAATGAAACTGACTGGAATTGTCAGCGCCAACCATCGAACGAAGCACGTATTACAACTAAAACATGCGTCGTGTTATCTATGGTTTCAGCGGCATATGGCACAAGTAGTGTAGCTCCGACGTGACAGAACTGACCTGAATGTGGGTAAATACCGTGAATCGATTGAGAGACAAAGCGTATGCCACACGCGCACTCTGCATATGATTGTGTGAAGTTGCGGGTAGTTTGAAGCGTTACATGAAAATTGATAACAAATGGACTCCGTGAGACAGCCTTCATAATTCTAAGATGAGCTAGACGGTCGCTTGGTTTCCGTGGTATCGACAGGACAACGATTAACAATGTTCGTAAGTGGGAGAAGTAATGCAGTGAGCTCATTGTGTGTGGACGGTTAAGCAACATTAAATCGTGACCCAATTCACTGGAGTTAAATCACGTAATATAGCTGGAACAGACTACCATCGATTTGCCTTCTGAATAGAGAAATCACAGGAGTGGAAATCGCGAAAATCAGAGGAACATTGCAAGATAAGCAAATTCCAAGGGAGAAAACGTTCCGAATGGCATTCCAACCAGTCAAGTGTAATCCGTAGCATCTGGGACTGGTGTTATCGATAAGTATGAAAATGTGACCAATAATGTGGTTGAAGTAATTCAAAATCTGATGAACCATTATAAGATCACCTCAAATATGCCGACATCGTCCGGCATGGGCTCCTAGAGGTTCCGGTTCAAGTAGGCAAGGTAGACGGAAAAATCCACTGGCATTTCCAGTCGTCCTTCGTCGTGGAGTTACAAGCACGGCGAGGCATGCTTGTAGCAACGCCACCAAAAGTGGAGAGACGCATGTAGCACGGAAGTGTTGGGGGCTTGCGGAAAGTTGAAAGCAGAGAACCATCCAAACGCCATGCATAGGAGGACTAAGTGCTGATGAGATCTACTTGGTGTTTTCTCGATCATACTTGAGCAACCTAAATCATACTGTACGAGCATACCGGAAGATGCGCTACAAAAGTTGCTCTGTGTGCTGGCGCCCACATGTACCCTGATGACGCATGGTCAATACATTGCGCTTGACCGCATTCAGCTGCAACATGTTCTAGCTCGACCGCTCGTAAGCTCTGTTGAGGTCGCCTGCAAATTCGAAGTAGTCGTGTGCCGTTTTGATAGTCCGACATATCCTAAGCCCATAAGCAAAGAGGATCGGTGGAAATGACCGCCTTCGCGAGATTGTTAATGAAAATCCAGTACCAGACTCTGTGGGACGTCCCAATGAACTTCTATAGAGTCGAAAAGGGTTAAACGTATTCCCATTTTCAGCTGACACTGGAGGAGGAAGGTAATTGTTTATCTCAGGATAGAGTCAATGATCCCGTGGCTCTAAGGCTTATGGAGAGGAATGCAATGATTCATATGGCGGGAAATTCAAAATGGGTCTAGCTAGACGTTGCCAACACCAACAGATTCCGTCTAGTTTGAACGGATTAAGCAATGGGTTTGTGGTGCTTGCGGTGGCGTAGCAACTACTTTTTTGTCGTAGGATTTTCACCCCACCTGCCAGCTGTAAACCTGTAATTCTTCACAATATTGCGTTTCATAAAATAACAATCAAAGACCTAATTTTGGAGTGCTGCTGCGAGTGCACCCGTTTTGTCACAACACACGTTCACAAAATCCACGACTACACTTTTCTTGCTTTACTTGCGGCAAAATTATAAATTGCACTATTAATATTTAATCCATCGATAAGTTCTTGCTCTACAGAGAGAACTGCCAAGTTTGGGAACCTAGTTTGCTTCAATACTGATCGAAGATAGTTCTTTATAAGCTTGAGTTTTGAGAAAGGGCGCTCACGGCTGTAAAGGTTAATAGCTCGAGTACGGAAGAAGATATGCCGCCAGAGCACAATATTCGGGACAGATTCCCCCAAGTAATAGTACGGTATAAAACGCAAAAGTTCAAAGGGTCTATTAATTTTGTCTTATCCTGAAACGTTCAAAAAATACCGCAGCCTTCTCTTTTCGGCAAAGGACTCTCTATTTCTATATGACTCCATGGAACAATGGTTTATAAGGGGTAAAAAGCACAGGCTTAACATGTCCCGTAGGCTGGTAATAGAAGATAAATTTAAATATTATTCTAGTAGACCAAATAAAGTATGCATGGGTGAAGCAATAGAGCAACTGTGTAAAGAAGAAAGTTTATGGGTGTGAGATAACACAGGCAAAAGCAAGTGAAAAGTTATAATGGTCAGCATTTATAGAAAGTAACAAGCAGATGCCCCATCTCTGCACAAAATTACTTGCGTCACGGTGGGTCATACTTCCAGTGGCTAGTTAGCCAGAATAAATCCAAAATATCCGTTCAAGTATTAAAGTGAGAGCGTGCAATTCGGTATCCAATAGCTTTTGAAAATAGCTACAATGAGGGCACAGACAACTGAGTTTGGAAGGACTTTCCAGTGTTGGCAGAACTGCATGGAGAAACAATTACGTCGACAATCGAGACAACTATTTTGTTGACTCAGTTTCAGGCTATTGCCTCTGAGGTTGGTGTTCGGGCTGAGTTTCAGTAGGTGGGGGTATACGTGATGGGGTCGCTTAGTATCTGGTAGACTAATTTGAGTTCTCTACGTAGCCGCCGGTAGCGTCCACTGAACACCCCGAGTGCCTTCAGCTGTTGCTGGCGCGCAAGGTGGCGCAATCCCTTGACAAATTTTGTTGCTCGACGTTGTGGAGTTTCGAGCGCTGCA